TCCGCTCCAATTAATGCAACTCAAATAGACGTCGGGAAAGATACGGTTATTACTGGAAACCACTTTATGGAAACATTCGTAAACCGCTTTGCAAACGTTTTACACATATGCAATTTGGCAAATTATATTTTTCGGATTTCCTTGAGCAGAGTGTAATAAAAAACGAGCATTGCATAAGTTTTGATAGGTTCAAGATATTAGAAACACCCGCTGCCAGCTGCTACTACTCATAATCACAGTCAAAAAGCGAATGTGCATAATCAAGAGCTGATCGACAAAGCGCAGCCATTGTGTATCTCTAGAGATCGGTAACAATATCACCCACTGAGTATTACCAAGGCCAAGTCCTCAAAGCTTAGCACGCGACAAAGCAAAGGGAAAAATTCAAGATAAACAAAGGGAAGGGTATACTCGACTACGACATGCCCTGAAATCTTCGTAAGAATTGATGTTCGATATATATACGAGATGTCTGACTACAGAATACTTTCCATACGATTATGCAAATGGAATCAGATATCTAAAAAGTCAGGGTCTCGTATGTCTCATAAGAATTATATATTTCAAATTTGAAGTCTCTAGCTTTTGTACTTCTCGAGATCGATGATATCTTTAACCTATATATGATAGACAGATCAATAAAAGATCTGATAGGTGGATGGACAGCCGAATAATCAGTCAGATCGTCTGTAGAATCTAATTGAGTATCAATATACTTTATAAAGTTAGTCATGCCCACTTTTGCCATAAGATGGGTATACCCTTCTGTCCGCTTTTTTAGAGCATAGTGGCGCCAAAAATCCGAATGAAATTGAAATTTTGTGACTAAGTCGCTGATATGCTTGATAGTTTTTATGGTTTAATTTTTTTGACTTTTTTTATTTAATTTTATACGGTTGTCGGCTCTATTAGTGTGTTAGGTAGTTCAGTTTTGCATAATCGCGGCATAGACACCCGCATTGTTTAGCATTTATGGCCAGAGCCGGACGGACGGGTCACGCGGATTGCTGCAATAGCTATCAACGGGCTTGCAGTTATGATTGGCAGCTCGCCCAGCATCAGATGTGACGCAGACTCCGGCTCTCCGTTGGCCATAACGTGCGGCTCATGTCATCATCATCATCCACGCMGCTTGGAATGCGTGTTACCGAAACCTTTTTGGATTTTTCACAATCGCCCTGCAAATTGATTCAGAGATAAAACGACAATTTGAATACCTTTTAAAATCGCATATATTGATTTTAATCAATAAATAAAAAAGGTGCATACAAAAATGCGATTTAGATAAAACAACGGACAACGAACAACTTTGTGCGGACGTTGGCAACCTCAACGTTTGTCATTTAAATGGAAATGGAAATGGAAATGCGTGACTATATGGTGTCTGTATAGATAGATATGTAGAGATATATATATAGCTATAGCTATATCCGCTAGCGTTTATGAGGCGAAGGCGGAGGCGTTGCGACTTTGCTATGTTAATAGAGTTTAGAGTTCAGCGCTTGGCTCCACCAAAAAGTGATTGTTAGATTTTTTACAATTTTTACAATTTTTGTTTTCTTTTCTTTCTGCTTTTGATGCTTACGCAATGGGGAATGCCCTGCGAATATGCGATGACAAGGCAATTAGTTGGCTAGAGCGAAGGCGATATATAAAGCTGAGCAAAATATATAACGAATTGTGGCAACTTGAGCTTAAGTAATCAGAAAGGCCAAGATGCAGTAGAGCTGCATATCGACGACTCCTGCGGCCTTCACGCAACTGCGACTGACACCTGCTGTGTGGCACGTCTTTGTGGCAGCCCTTGACATGTTGCATGCATGTCTAGCGCCCTGTTAAATGCACAATTAGACAGCTTTTGACTGATTCCGGGCATGTTCAGGGCATTATAACACAGCTCAATAATAGCTAACGAACAGGTATTAACTAATATAGCACAGCTATATATATAAAGGGTATTAAAAATATTTAAATGAACACATTGCTGCTTCGAGCACAGTCAAGTCAAAGATTTAAATAAATTATAAGTTGTTAAATAAATTATAAAGTTGTTTAAATTTGATTTTCTAAACTTGTTTAGATTGCCTCTTGAATATTATCTAATTCAAAGTGCTTAGAAATTCATATTTAAAAATATTTAAAAGCATTTAAAGCAGGTTTAATTAGCTTTAGATACATTTTAAGTAATTTGAGTAAAAGCCATGAAGGTATATGAGCTCAGTGTAATGCCTCTGCTGCTCCTGCAGTTCCAGTTGAGGCAGAAGCTCAGCAGCAAACCTGAGCATGCTGGTTTCTTTCTTTTTCTGGAAAGTCATCCAACCTGATGCAGTGCAGCCAGTGGCACAGAGAGCCCAATAACGATGTTTAACTGCATGACAGTGAGTCCTGCGGCCATCACGTTACTCGCATTGTGGCAAGCTTTTGTGGCGCCTCTTCGTGTGCAGCCTGCGTCTGTTGCAGTCAGTTAACATGGCCAGCATATGATTTGAGGCCTGCTCCTGTCATTATGGCCCACTCATGATCAGCTCAGGGTCATTTTACACTCGCATTTCTGGGCCGAACGCATGCAAAATAATTGCTACAGCCATGCTCTATTAATTAGCTTAAATTACTAGCTTAAAGAGAGTTAAAGCTTTTGAAATCAGCTCTAATTATATGAGGCTCCAGTGAAATCGGATTTAAAACTCATTTAAAACCGATTTGAAATTGGTTTTGAAACTGGGATATAATTTATGTATTTTTATTCATTTCAAATATTTGTAAGCAAGATTGAAGATTCCATTTGTATGCTGATAAAAATTGCATTATTTGGTCTATCATAAGGCAATACGTTATTTATTATTGAATACCAAAAATCCTCGCCCAGCACAGCTCGAGGACAAAGCAAATGCAGGCAACTAAATGAGCCGCTAAGTAAAATATAAAAATTTGAGTTAGATCTCTTAAATAAACTCGGTCCTCCTGCTGCTTTGGATGGCTGTAATCCTTTCGTGAATCCACCTTTAAGCGAATCATCTCATTGAAACTGTTGCCCTGCCAGAACTGCGAAATGCCAAACTCGTGCATGGCCAGAATGTGTCGTTGGAAGAGCTGGCGATAGGGCAGATGGCGACGAAGGGGCAGGGATAGCAGCATAAAGTGCGTCATGCAAATATCGTTGGAGTAGTAGAAGACGGGCTCACGGAAATAATTTTGCTGCTCTTGCAAGGATAGCCAGCGCACCTCCATGACTGGATAAACGAAGCTGGCATTAAACGAGTCACGTATGCGAAAAAACTCCTTCCAATCATCCAGAAGGTAGGCGCGGTGCGCATTGGTTGTGGTCAGACTGAAGTTCTTAAAGATCAAATGATTTGCCTCTCCGTGTAGCCAGGCAATTTTATAACGAGATTTCAGAATATCCTCGATGCTGCGCAGCATCGGCTCGTGTGGCGGACTCGTGAAGTACGCCTGTAAATAGGACTCGTACATGGTGGTAATGATGAGACTCGAGAAGCAGATGAGCAAGCAAATGCCTTTTAGATAGCGACTCGTCTGGGCGGGCATCGGGAAGCATTGGCCCAGCAGACCGCGCAGACTGCGATCGTTGAGCAGCATGTCGATGAGGCTGAACCTGCGCCAGTTCAAGTCCTGGCTATAAATGTGAAGCAGCGAAAATATCAGCAGAAGGACGATTATCACGCCTGCCACCAGAGGTTGCACTATGATTGTGAAGATCTCCTCGTAGTCCAGGGCCGGCGGCAAGGGTATCATAAAGCAAAACGAGCTGTACATATACGGATAGCTAAGATAGTCAAAGCTGTCTGCATCCAGCGTCGTGGACAGCGTGGCCGCGATATCCAGCTGATTGAGCATCACCCGTTGAATAATATTGTTGAAGTGCAGCTTCTTGCCCTCGCCAATGTCATCGCGTAACTTCAGCGTCGCATTCACACGCTCCACGAATGTGTTGATCAAGTTGGCTGCAGTGCCCATTATTTGGTACTTGCCTGTCACCGGATCGCGATACAGGACGCCACGAGGACGAATATGATCAGGCTCGCTTCTAATGGGAGAGCCGCGCATGTTGGCAAATTGCTCCACGTAAATGAACTCGTAGTGGGAGTCGGCCTCGAAGTCTACGTGGGAATCTAAGTTCACCAGGGCTGTGGACTTTGTTTCATAGCTGTCGCTTAAGTTGAGAGTCAGCTGTATATAATTCTCCTGCTGAAAGCAGCGACAGCTATACAGATTACCCACAGCATCCACCATGGCCACATTAACCTGCTCCCGCTCGAAGTAGGACTCACAGACTTCCGTCGGCTGCTTCTGCGGCTCCAGATAGACCAATCGCCGTGCCTGTTGCAGCTTGAGTAAAGTGCGCCTATTCTGCTCCTGCTCGGCATTTGAGTTACAGATGAGCAGCAGCGACTCACTGCTGAAACTCCAATCCTCCCAGCTGCTGCCCTGAGAAAGCAGGACTGTCGGCAACTCCAGCTGAGGCAGCAGCTTATGAAACACACACGGCTCACTCCCATAGATCACAATGGTGTCACAGTCCCGCTCCAGGCGAATGCGTCTTATTAGGTGCAGCACTAAGCCAGAGTGCTCATCTTTATCTAGTTCATCCAACTCGATGCAGAGCAGCCAATGGCACAGAGAGGCGAATAGAACTAAGACGAAATATAGCTGCATAGCTGCGAGTCCTGCGGCCATCACGTTACTGTGGGYCAGRYTMGTAKYGYGGCAGGCTTTTGTRGCGCCTCGTGGTATGCGGCATGCATGTTTTGCAGGCAGTTAACACAGCTATTAACATCGCTTGTGAATGATTTTCTGTTCATGTCAGTTTTGCTACAATCAAATTTCCAATCTCTAGCTCTTATATGTAGTAAGAAATCGCATTACAAGCTGAACCATAATTTATTTATTTAAATACGTGGTTTTACAAATTTAAGCATTTTATTAATTTGCTAAAGAGTCTCAATAATGATTCGAAAATGAAATTTATAAGCTAAATTTCATTATTTAATACCAAAAATTCTCGCCCAACACAGCTCGAGGACAAAGCAAATGCAGGCCAATAGATGAGCCGCTAAGTAGAATATAAGAATATTGGTGAGGTCTCTAATATATAACTTATCCTCAGGCTCCTCGGGATGGCTGTAATCATTCCGCGAATCCACTTTTAAGCGAACCATCTCATTGAAACTGTTGCTCATCCAGAACTGTAAAAGGCCAAACTCTTGCATGGCCAGAATGTGCCGTTCGAAGAGCTGGAGATAGGGTAGATGGAGACGCACAGGTAGGGCTAGCAATATGAAGCGTTTGATGCAAACATCCTCGGAGTAGTAAAAAACGGGCCCCCTGAAATACTTTTGCTCCTCTTGTAGGGAGAGCCAACGTAGATCAGTGACTGGATAAATGAAGCTGTCATTGAAAGTTTCGCGTAAGCGAATGAGTTCCTGCCAATCGTCGAAGAGAAGGACGCGATGGGCGTTCGTGGTGGTCAGATTGAAGTTTTCGAACACCCAGTGAATCGCCCTTTCGCGCTCCACTGCAATTTTGTAGCGAGAGGTGAGAATATCCTCGAAGCTGCGCAGCATCATCTCGTGTGGGGGATGCGTATAATACGCCTGCAAATAGGACTCGTACATGGTCGTCGTCATGATACTAGCGAAGCAGATCAGCATACAAATGGCTTTTAGGTGGCGACTAGGCTGGGCGGGCATCGGAAAGGCGTGTCCCAGCAGACCGCGCAGACAGCGATCGTTGAGCAGCATCTCAATGAGGCTGCACCTGCGCCAGTTCAAGTCCTGGCTATAGATATACAGCAGCGAGAAGATCAAAAATAAGATGATTAGCACGCCGGCTACCAGAGGTTGCACTATGATTGTGTAGATCTCCTTGTAGTCCAGTTGAGCTGGCACTGGAATCATGAAGCAATACGAGCTGTGGATGTAGGGATATGTGAGATAGTCATTTCTGCCAAAATCCATGGTGGTGGCCAGCGTGGCCGCGATGTCCAGCTGATTGAGTCTTACGAGTTGCATAATGTTATTGAAGTGCATTTTCTGGCCGAGGCCAATGTCATCGCGTAACTTCACCGTCGCATTTACACGCTCCGCAAACGATGTGATCAGATTAGAAAGGAAGCCTTTAATCTCATACCCTCCTGTGCTGGGATTATGATAGACAAATGCACGAGGACCTTCTTGATCCGGTTCAGCTCTGATGGGCAAGCCGCGCATGTTGGCGAATTGCTCCACATAAATCGCGTCGTAGTGAAGATTGGAGTTGGAATCGGACTCTTTGTCGAAATCGGAGTTTAAGTTCATCAGGGCTGTGGACTCTGTTGTTAAGTTGAGAGCCAGCTGTATATAATTCACTTGCTGAAAGCAGCGACAGCTATACAGATTACCCACTGCATCCACCATGGCCACATTAACCTGCTCCCGCTCGAAGTAGGCCCCACAGACTTCCGTCGGTTTCTTTCCTGCCTCCAGATAGACCAATCGCCGTGCCTGCTGCAGCTTGAGTAAAGTGCGCCTATTCCGCTCCTGCTCGGCATTTGAGTTGCAGATGAGCAGCAGCGACTCACTGCTGAAACTCCAATCCTCCCAGCTGCTGCCCTGGGAGAGCAGCACTGTGGGCTGCCCCAGCTGAGGCAGCAGCTCATGAAACACACACGGCTCACTCCCATAAATCACAATGGTATCATAATCCCGCTCCAGGCGAATGCGCTCTATGAGTTGCAGCAGCAAGTCTTTAGGTAAATTTGGATGTTCTGACAAATGTTTCAACTGGACGCAGTGCAGCCAGTGGCACAGAGAGGCCAGTGAGATAAAGAGGATGTATAACTGCATCGCATCCAGTCCTGCGGCCATCACGCGACTGTGCCTAGCCCTCTGTTTGTGGCAGACTTTTGTTGCTGCTCGTTGCATGTGGTGTGTGGCATGCATGATTTGCACCCTGTTAACATGGCTAAGTGCTCAATTATGCAGCTATTTCTGCTGATTTCATGGTATGTTAATGTCGTTAAAAAATGGCTAATAGTTTGACTCCCTTCAGTCCACGCAGAGTTTAAATACTTTGCATGCAGATTGTTTTTGTATAGATATAGATAAGATATAAATATATTTATTTATGTATATATACATAATTATATATTCATATAGCATAGAAGC